CCCTAACAGGGGCTTTTTTCAGCTTGAAAAAAGCCCTGTTAGGGCTGAAACGTTGCTTTGTAGTTCCTGGTCCAAATAAATTGCCTTAAGAATTGGAAACTATTGGAGTGCCTTGATCATTTTTCTACAAGCACGTGTTTAATATGCAGACCAAGTTAATGCATACTGGGGAGTCTAACAGACTATGGTGACCTACTACCGATAGGGACTCTTGGTCATATTATTAAGACCGAGAATTCAGCTTTCGTTACCTCACTATTATCCCTACCTACAATTAGGCTTAACAGTGGGGGCACAAGCGTTAACATGGGCTTTGCAAAAGAGGCATTCATGATGAAACACTTGACCAGTGTATAGTCGCCATATGGGCAGTCGGACTCCAGGACAACTCTCCCACATACCTAACCCAATAATGCACTGACACTCGGATATATGGGAAAATTTGTCCACAGCTTTATTAAACAATCTGAATAATAATAACCATATATTCAACATAACATAATAATAGTAATAATTTAACAAATAAACATGGGTCATTGCCCCCCATACTCCGCCCTCGCATCCGATTCCTTCTGTTAATATAAAAGGCAATGACCCCCATATAAATAACACATATATATAACATATACCAACATTATTCCAACATACCAACTTAAAGTGCCAACATAAATTTAACCATGGCAGGGGTATACCCGGATACCCCTACCCCACCAGGTTCTGAGCCACCAACAGGACTCGAAACCTACCAACCACCAATGACCACAGTTTTCCATATCTGTCACGTTCATCCTAGGGAGCCTATTCCTTCTCCTTCAGCTCCCTATCCCGCCGCTGTGAAAAAACGGGATATCCCCTAACCATAAACAATATCTATAGGGAGGGTGGGCGGGACAAACTTGGTCAGGTAGGAAATTAGAAGTGAGCTCAGTTAAAATGGCTGCCTATTTAAATAGCCCAGCCTACTTACCCATAACTCCATACTTCCTTCCCTCCTCCTATGCCCGCCTCCTAACCCCTGTCAAGGCCCTTTTTCGCTTAGCTGTGCTTTGGCTACATGGGGCTACATGACCGGTGTATAGTCGCCATATGGGCAGTCGGACTCCAGGACAACCCTCCCACATACCTAACCCAATAATGCACTGACACTCGGGTATATGGGAAAATTTGTCCACAGCTTTATTAAACAATCTGAATAATAATAACCATATATTCAACATAACATAATAATAGTAATAATTTAACAAATAAACATGGGTCATTGCCCCCCATACTCCGCCCTCGCATCCGATTCCTTCTGTTAATATAAAAGGCAATGACCCCCATATAAATAACACATATATATAACATATACCAACATTATTCCAACATACCAACTTAAAGTGCCAACATAAATTTAACCATGGCAGGGGTATACCCGGATACCCCTACCCCACCAGGTTCTGAGCCACCGACAGGACTCGAAACCTACCAACCACCAATGACCACAGTTTTCCATATCTGTCACGTTCATCCTAGGGAGCCTATTCCTTCTCCTTCAGCTCCCTATCCCGCCACAAGCTCAGACCTTGACCCCTTAAGCCGTCTGAGCTCCGCCACCCCGAAGAAATAGCGCCTTGGTTATTCCGTCTTGCCAACCCAGGTTCAGCAGGTCCCATCCCACTGCCGAAAGATGAACGCCATCTGAGCGGTAGTACCCTGACAACCCGCCTTCCAACTTGCTGTGCCGCACTACCACCCCCCCAACTTCCTTACGAAGCTTGCCATCAAGCTATTCACCTTCCTTCTACACTTGTCGATGGCCACCGGGTCCCTTGCGTGCCGCCACCACCTCCTCGGGATAATCTCTGACCATACTAACATTACTCCCGGAAGCAGGTCCCTCAATTTGTTGAGGTCCTGCTTCATCCACTTCACCAACCTCCGCTGCGGTGTTAGGCCCAAGTCATTGCCCCCCGCATGTAGCACCAGCAGGTCCGGCCCCTGCCCTCCTGCCACCATCCGGAACACTTCCCGGCAAACTTCCCCCCAGCAAAAACCCCTATACCCGAACCATTGCACCACCAACTGGTCCCTTGAAAAGCCCAGCTGCTGGCCCTGAGCTCGAGCTGCGGCTCTCCTTTCGGCCCAGAAAACAAAGGAATGGCCCACGATCCATGCAACATAGCCTGGGGAAGAGAGAAAACACAGATTGTAACAACACCCCCCTATTGCCCTCCGGGAACCCCCGAAAAAAGGCCCGACATATCATTCTAACAATCCCAACCGCACGTACGACCGGAACCGTACTGACTCCCACCTTCCAATTCGTTTAACTATGTCATCCCCCAGACCCAACCTTGCGGCTTCCGTGGCCGCCCCGATGCGAAAGGAATGTGTACCAAAGCTATCCACCCGTAACCCCATTTTTCCCAGGCCCCACCGAAAAACCTTAATAAATTGAAATCGGGAGAGGGAAGACCCATCTGCGTGCACCAGGAGGGATCCCCCAACCTTCGGCCTCCGGACCAAATACTCTGCCACCGAGGCTACCGGGCACAGAACAGAGCCCGGCAGGGCCTGAAGTGTCACATCACGGCCCACCCCCCGTGAATCCGTCTTAGATTCGGCCAGGTGAACCACCAATTTCCCCCCTTGCAGCCGAACCCCGGAGACCTGTAGGCCCCCGGCCGCTACCCGATTGGCACTCACCAACTCGCTAATCCGGAAAGCCCAGAAGAAAGCCAACAGAAACGCTGTCCGAAAC